ACACACACACGCCCGGCGAGAGTTTAGTTTTGGACTCGAACCGCAGTTGACTACATGGGAGTCCCACGACATAGCCATTACACTCACTGCTGGTCCCAACAACTGAATTGTGAAGATTAGTACTAATATTCTTATCCCACATATGTCATTCTTGTAAATGAAAAGAAAATCTTCTAAAGAAATATTGAGTAACATGAAAATCTCTGTGTTAGTTCAATAATGGCATTGCTACATAGAGATGGCAGAATTAGCTAGCAAAGTCAGAAAAGGTTCATCGTGAAGATGACAAAAGCCAACTGAATGGATGATCGGTCCATTCACTGTAACACAAAAGAAGCATCCTCCAATTCCTAAGGACCCCATCACGACTTACTGTCTACGTCTTCTGAAGGACTGGCCGAGGGCAGCAGGAAAGCCGGAAGTGTCTCGCTCTATTTCATTTCTACACGAAGCTCATTAAGAGGCCCAGTCTCGGTGGTCCAGCAGCAACGCTCATGCTCTGCAGTGCTGGGAGCCACGTGGCCACCACGGTTCAGGTTCCGGGTGAGCCCCAAAGGCACACTGGGGAGGGCCGGCAGGTGTCATGGTGGCTAAGAAGCTGGATTCCCACATGGCCAAATGCAGCTCAAGTCCCAGACAGGGTGGCTACTTTCACAATTTGTCTCTCTCACTTGCTCTCGCTGCCTCTCTCTCTGGTCAAATTATAAAAAAATAAGGAATAAAATAAAATGAAATAATTCTTTAAAAGAAAAATAAAAACAGCACCCTGGGGTGCACAGCAAGCTAGCCAGGATCCTGAGGAGCTCGAGGAGTAGAAAAGGAGACCGCGGCCTGCAGAGGGCAGGGCAGGTGCTCTCTCAGCGCATGCACGGGCGTCCTATCATTTAAAAAAGCCATTAAAAGTAACAACAACCAAAAAAAGAAAAATAAATAAGAGAAGTAGCTATATATTAAAAGTGGGTGGAAAGGGAACCAGTAGTTAGCGTAATGGCTATGTCGCTGGACTCCCACGTAGTCGACCGCGGTTCATGTCCCAGACCCGGTGGCTTAAAACTCACACCGGGCACGTGTGCGTGCGTGCCCAAGATCCCGAGAGGAGAACGGAGGAGAAGGGATTGTGGCGTGACCATCCCCCCTGGGGGGTGATTTCTCACTTTCTATCTCTCTGTCTGTCTCTGTCTGGCGAGCGCACGCGCCCTATAGCAAAAAAACCTCTCCAAAAAAAAAAAAAAAAAGGTGGAAGGGAAGATGTTCCATGTATATGAATGAGAAATCATTTCTTAATTTTACTTTTAAAAATTGTACCATTAAGCTAAACTAAATGTAAATAAAAAGGCTCAGCAAATAGTGCTTCCTAAATCTTCACACCCTCCAAGAAAGCACATATGATGTAAAATGACAGACTGATGGGCCAGGAGCTGGCGTGCTGGTTAAGGCACTGAATCCCACTTCGCTGAGGATGCAGTTCAAGCCCCAAACCCAGCGTTTGAAATACATGTTAGGCACGTGTGCATGCATGCCCAAAATCCCAAAGGAAAATGGAGGTGAAAGAACAGCAGCATGGCCAATCCCCCAGGGGGCGATTTTCTCATTTTCCCGCCTTTTCTCTCTCCGAGTATACACGCCCTATAGCAAAAACCTAAAACAACTTTTTTTAAAGAAAGGACCTACCACCCAATACAATCGGCCAGTCCTCCCACCCTAACGTGTAGCCGACTTACCACCCAGGCTCAGTATGTACACGCTGTGAGGAAGCCACCCAAGGACACATGTCTCAGAGAGCATGCCCGTCGGTAAGCCACACAGGGCCGTATGTCGAACAAGGACAAATCGAGGTCCACAAATCCCAAGTCCACCACGTAACCAGAAGACAGAGAATGCCGCAAAGTTCAGTTCCATGAAACGAACCAGCAGACACCAGTTTCCAGCAGGGCGTCTCCTGTGCGCTCTGAAGCTGCTGCAGGGTGGCAGGTGGGGTGGAGGGAGGTGCGGGTTCACAGGAGAGGAGAGGAGAACGAAGGAGAACCACTCTCAGACCAAGTCCACCTCAGGGCGAAAATGCTGAAAAGGATCCTGGAAGGCTGAGGCACAGGCACTGCCTGCAGAGAAAGGGGGACAGCGCCCTGGCCGCCAAGTGGCAGGCACAGAAAGACATCGCTTTGGGGACAGGAGAGATGAAACAAGCATACCCCTTTGGAGACTCGATGGGAAAGGAAAAGGAGAAGCAAGAGAGGAAGTCTGTCGTTCTACAAGGTAAAGAGGACTAAAAAAATGTTTAAATAAAACACATCCCCACAGCGCCCCACCTCTAAGCTATCCAGTAAGAAACTGCACTTTGCTACACAGGGAGGGCAATTTTGAATAGGAATCTTAGAAACCATCCCCAAACCATCAACCTTCTCCACAAACGTGTAGAGGTAGACAAGCTCCATCTATATGAAACTACTATAGGATAAAAACATGGAGGACCAAGACAATAAAATCTCCCCAAATAAGACAACAGGACCAAGCAACGGGGGACATGAAACACTTTGAATCTGAAATTTAAAAACTAAGAATATAAATGGTAAGAAACCTGAAGAAATAAATTGAGTTAA